TATACTCATAAACTAAAAGATCAAAACCTCTATGATTTTTATCATTAGATCTCCCCAAAAAGCTTTTGGTAATTTCAGCAGTCATTCCTAAAGATCATAAAGCAATAGTAAATATAATATCAACTGGTGAAATACCAAATACATTTCCATTTAAATAGGAACAAACCCTACTATCATCAAATTTTTCAACACTCTTTTCAAGATTTTAACTAATGCAATAAGATAAGAAAAATAAATAAATGATATAAATATTGGAAAAGAAGATATAAATTATCATCACCTCAAATATTATGATCATATTTTGTGATAAGAGATGTACACTCTTAAAACAATTGTTAGCATTAACAAGAAATCCCAGTAGTGGGAAAGAATACAGGATAAATATGTTTTGGAATCCACAACTTCCCTTTGTATCACCATAATAAGCCATTAAAAAATTAAGTAGAAAAAAGGTTTCAATTCACAACAATGTTTAAAAAACAAGGTTTATTCTTTCATTTGGCATTTTCCTGAGACAATAGTGCAGATTTATAACTTTTTAAATCTTTGACATACTAATATATAAATAAAGGTTTATAAGAAATCACTTTTTGTTAGATCCAAACAAACAACAGCCAGGAGAGCACAAAGCAGGAGGGCTCATGCTTGTATGTCTGAGATAAACACTGTCTCAAGGACCTTCTAAAACAACCCCACAAGAAATCAGGACTGCAGCAATTCAGATAAGATGCTCTCAAAAGAACACCTGCCCAGTAACAGCATTTCACCTACTAACTCTGGCTTTGAGTCTCTAAAACCAGTGAATTCTGTTTCTAAGAAGCTTATGTGAACTTCTCCTTTTGCAAATACAAGTTTTCCTTTACCCTCCCCTCTTCAGATACATATGTGGCTTACCATAGCTGTGCATCTAGGGTTATAATCTTCTTCTCTAATTCCCAAATAAATTCAACATATTTGGAGATATCTCTTTCTCAGATTTTTTTTTTCCCAGTTGAAAGCTTCCATGGTAAAATAGTTCACCCTATCTACTCTACTTTAGTGTGTAATCACAAAATTATGTAAATCTAAGACTAATCACAAAGAAAAAACTTGAAGTTTTGAAGGTTGGTGGTTTCAACACAGAACCAGTTGATTTGGATATTAGTAGGAGGATTAAATCATAATATAGTCCTTGAACAACATGCTAAAAATATTTTCATATTGTAGTAATTATGTTGCTAAGGAACACTGGTACTAAGCTATCATTATCAGACCTGAAATTCACTTATTTATATCTATAATATACATTTGACACCTTTGATTAACATTGAGTTCACTTCCATTTCAAATAATAAAAACAATAGTGTCATGCTGCAGGATTCAATGTCTTGGTTTGTTTTTTAAGTATTCAGTGACAACATTGGGGGAAAGAAGCATAGAGTAGGTACTTCATTTAAAATATCTGAAAACAAAGACCTATTATACGATAGTCTTATTACAGTCCCTTGTAACTAAAAAGATCCTTGGCTTTCTGCATCATCACAGAAAATAAGAAGAAGCTACATACACAGCATTAACACTGAGAAAATTCAGACTCAGTCTTGCTTTAGTATTGAACCAAACCAGGTTATTTGCACAATAAATAAAATGTCTTAACACCTTATGGATTCTTTATATCAGAGGTAAGCATTCATTTGAAAAATTAAAATAAGGAGACTAATATCACCTAAGATGAATTAAGTATCATGATTAACAATAAAAATTTAGAATTTGCAAGGGAGTAGAAATATGTGTATTTTCTAATTAAAATATAATTAAGGACAGGTTCTTCATGCACACACATAAATTTCCCTAAAGCTTCATAAAGATTTAACTATTAGCTAATTGGGTAGGGAGGTAATTGATGTGACCATGAAAAATACTCGATCTTTAAAGATTAGTCCAAAATTAACTTATCAGAGCATTAATTCATTGGATAGAAACATGTTGAGTACCTATTATGTCCCAGGCACTTACATCATTGTGAATAAAAAATACTGCATCGGAAAAGAACATTTTTGACATCTCAAATATAATATGCATTATTTGGTTGATAATTACATTTAACACATTCAACATATAGAGCAAAATTCTGAGCAATCAAAACAATTATACCCTTGAACAATCAATTGTTTTAAATTGATTTGCTCTCATTATTCCCTTAAGTTGATTTCTACCCTGGGATTCTTTCCCAGTTCTAAAATAAGAGAACAGCAACAACAAAAAAATTTCCTAAATAAGACAACACAAAAGAACAGAAATGTAAGAGAAGGGCTGTATTAGCTCTTGAATCCTTGTTTCCATTTGCTCTCAATAGTACTTCTAATGTTCAATTTTCTCTTCAAAGAAAATCTTGATTTAAGAGAACAAAAAGTACAATCGGCTTTAACATCTAAAGAAGTATACTGTTTAGCTTTTACCAAAGTTAGCAAAGATTGAAACTGAGAAAAAATACTAAAATATTCTAAGTTATATTCACCATTCACCATAGTAACGATCTTATATTTTGGTATACGACTTTTTAAAATAAATATTACCAACAGATAAAAA